TACAAGCAGTGGTAGTTAATATCAATATTTGTAAGTACTCTTATGAACTCATATGATCCTTTTCATTAGCTTTGGCTGCACGTTTCTGGATAATGTCAATATCAATATTTGTAAGTACTCTTATGAACTCATATGATGCATCTCCCACTTTTTTTTTATCTGCAAAGTACCTGACATAGTGTTTGGACAGACTTATTTCTGGTAGTAACTTCTCCATTGTGAAACTACTTTCCACTACAGTAGCTTGCGGACAATGTGGGCTACTACAAGACCGAGACCTGCATTAAAAGATGATTACATTTAGGAGTGAATGGTAAAGAAGGTTCTGATTTTGTTTAAATTAAAGTATATGTTTGAAAATTATTTATTGATGCTCAAAGAATATCATGTAGATGATTATGTGGAAAATAGTTCATCCTTCACAGTTTTCTCGGCAAGCTGGAACTTCCAGTTATACTGGTTGTATATTTATGGGTTATAGACTTATAGTTGAAATTTTCAAATGATTAGATATTTTTGTAGTTGTAGTTGGATATACAAGTGCCTAAAAACTGAAGTCGGCACTTCTTCACTAGAAGCTATATGTTCACTAGCTTGATTTCTCCTATGAGATGTAGAATTTTTATTTCCGCTAGATTGTTGTAGTTTCCTTTTTTGCTGTAAATGCTTATCTATCAGAGTATCTATGCATGTGTGGGTTTATGTTTCACTAACTGCCCTATAAATAATCTGAATTTCTTTCAATCGATTGATTGTTTTGTAATTTTCAATCCATGTCCCACAGCATAGTCCCTCGACACCGGGTCAATCCTGGTTTATGAAAAAATCAGGACTCTGAACCATGCAGTCTACTCATAGTGAACCACAGGTCTGAACCATGCATTCTTAACCCGGTCAACCATGTTTTGCCCGTGGTGAACCATGGGGTCTGAACCATGCTGCCTGAACCAGATCGACCGTATATCTCCGTAGGTCGTTGAAATATGAGTCGGACCATGTCTTAAGGTTGTGGAAATGTGAGACAAACTAGGAAGTGAGAACTATGAAAAAAAATCACATCAGGAGCACAGTCGTGGATAGTGATCAACATATTATTATTCTAGGTGACCCAATATTCTTGGTTATAATGGAGGACTAAAGAGGGTCCAATTTATGTGCAGGTGAAGAAAATCACCAAAATGGAAGGAGTTCTGTATTATGATCTATTACAATGTGCTTGAAGCAATACAGAACCATGATTATACTTGGTATAGTACAAACTAAATGTACAATACAGACTTTCAAGTAGAATCTTTGGCCTACAGCTCACCTATATACATACGATGAACTTGTTTCGTATTATAAAAACGTTCACCCTATATATATTGAACCATTTTTAATAAAGGTTGTATATATATGTATATCTTTTTTCAATATACGGCACACACAGAGCGTATGGCCCGAAGAATACACACGATCGGAATAAAGATAAAGAAATTCGGAAAACAGGACGGCTCGAACAGTAAAGCCGTGAACGATGCAGTGGCGCATCGGCAGCGAGCTCGCTGTTCGAACGTAACGGCGCGTGTTCTAATCCCTGCGGGATCGCGCGGTCAAACTAATACTTTTATTATTTAAAAAAAAAACAGAACGGCAAATGTATACAAAGCTTTGCGCGTGACATTTAATATGATCAGTGCTATAGCGCAGAGGTAGCGGGCGCTAGGCGCGAGTGGCTGGTCATGGGTTCGAGTCGCAGCTTGTTCCTGCTACTGTATGATTTTTGGCAGGACCTTTTTCTGCCAAACAAGGGATATATACGCGATTAAATATAAACTAAAGGTCTTTTTTGCAAAAGAGCATGACACATCAGCACCTGACAGGGGGTCCCGCCGGTCAGATACAGCATCAATACACTGTTATACGCTCCTTAGCCCGTTATGCACCACTTAGACCCTGAGTTGGTACTGAACTGCGACATGCATGAGTAGTGGTACTGACTCGTGAGTAGGTGCGCAAGTGTGATACCAACATGCAATTAACTCAGGGCACTTTGGTCCTTTCAGGTGCCAGGAAATGGAAAAGAAAAAGAAAAGCAATAGGAAAAGTAAAAATGGCATGTTAATCAAAGTACACATAAGCTGGGTGGCATTTTTATGAAGTCAATCTTGATAGTGGCATTTGTGCGAAGCCCCATATTAAAAATGGCAAATAGCCAATTTTCTCGAAAGGATCAAAGTGCTACTTGCATGGTTAATAAAAGACTACCTCGCACAACATGGGAGCCCGCCTCGGTCAGGCAGTGGGTGACGTACACGACCTTGAGATCGCATAGCAGTGAGACGGCAGCCAACGACGTGCGGACCAAGCAGCAAGAGATCATCGGCTCCAGTGGCGATGATGGGCGGCGCCGGTGAGACAGCCAACAACATGCGAGAAGTAAGCAGTAATGAATCTCCGTCTCTCGCGACGATGATCCGCGGCCGACCCGCGGCTGTGAGACGGCCGATGACGACGTGCGGAGCAAGCTGCAAGGGATCGCCGCTCGCCGGCTTCTGTCACGATGATCTGCGGCGGCGTTGAGACAGTGGTCGTCGACGCGCAAAGCAAGCAGCAAGGGGCCGCCATCTCTCGCGGCGATGATCTGCAATGGGTTGATGGCGACGAGCAGAGCAAGAAGCAAGGGATCGACGTCTCCCTCGACGATCATCTTGCCTTGGCGCCGCGAGCGGTTAGTGCGGTCGCAAGGTAGTATGGTCCTGTGGGCAACGTTCGACAGCATGACGAAGAATGTGGAGAGCTCGGTGGCGTCATGGGCGATCGCCGCGTGATGACGCTGTTCCTGGTGCTGCTCGGCGATGTCTCTTCCCCCGGGACTCAATGCATTTATATCCGACTAGTAAGCTTGTACGTACAACGCACGTCTCTACTAATGCTTTTTTCGAAGATAAATCCACTCCCAATCAAATATACCTTGTCTACATGTCTCATACCACCGTATACTTATAGTTGTTGATGGTAGTATAAGATCACACACACACAAAAAACAGCCAAGGTAACATTCATCATATAGGCCCGAAACCATGTTTTCAGGCCCTTACATCTAGCAAGAGAGGTTCAAAGTTGTTTTATGTCATTTTTTTCATAACTTGTCTCCATATAAATAGAGGTCATTGATGGTACTTTCAAAGACTCTGAACATTTTGATTTATCACAAACTACATAAAATAGATATGTGTGAACACCATGTATTTTGGGATCAATGTTGCAACTTGCAAATTATACCTTTTCTCCCCAAGAAATTTACAAAGGTATGCATCAATGTTTGATTCTGCAATGTCCGATGCCAAGAAAGCACTCGTACATTTTCAAGGCAACATTATTTCCAATCAAACGTCATGCACATTGCCTGACTTCTTTTACCCTGGAGATGAATTCATCCAGAGAATCTTGTAGACCATCCATCACATTGTTTTGCCTGCAATTCCAGTATGTACAAGTACAACACCATTCAACAGGGTGCACATGCACAGAAAAAGAAGTAAAAGAGACAAGTTGGGAGTTGTACATTACTAACTGAAAATGATCTTTCATCCATTTTCTTAAAAGATTCCCTTATTGTTGATTCTTCCTGGTAAGTAAAAGTAGGAAGACAAGATTGTGGTGGAAGGTTTTCTTTCTTGTTCTCTTTCCCTGTGAACTGTAGGAGTGATAAAATGGTTTATTTTCCTTTAAGCAGTAAAATTTTACTTGAGCACACAAGTGAAAATATTTTAATTTAGAATCTATAAATAATGATACTGTTTGCTTTGGGCAAAAGGATTGCGAAGTATTGGTTGAGGCGCGGTCTGTATTTCATTTCTATGGTTCCACAAATGATAGAAGCAAAAATCTCTCATTAATTGATGATCGGACTTCTTAGATTCAGGTAAGCTGAAAAATCAAAAAACAATCAAGAGAACACAGTATTTACTATTTTGGAAAAAAAAGAACGTCAATCTTGTTCACATTTAATGAGAGCAATCTCCAGTTCTCTCTAAATGCTTAAAAGGCAGTGAGACATGTGTGAATGAAAAAAGAATATACATAGTAGATATAAACTTTAACCGTTGGCTATGTTTGTTCACTTATATGATCACAATAAGTAAATGTATCTTGTTGTCCATAAATAAAGCAAAACATATCATGTGTCGAAGTATATGCTAATTATGAAATAAATGCCAATCATGTAATCAGATATGATAAGCACACAAGCAAACATAAATGGAATGACATGGCATGAAATCTCTAGCCAGGTTTTCTTTTTAATACCCGGAAGAAGAATCTTGCTGGTCTCTTTCAATTGCACCTCCAACTTTGTTCGGTGACAGCGACGTGGAGTTTGGACAAGATTCCCTGGGAGCATAAGAGAAATCGTGAAGAAAATATTTTTACCTATGCAACAGTTCGAACATGGTCCTATTGATCAGTACTAAGATGAAGCCCTGCAATTTGGTGTTGCTACCTAAAAGGACAGCTAAAATGATCATCGAGAACATTCTACTGATCCTTCTATTTTCTGGAATGACATCAAGAAGTAACTTCCTGGAATGGTATGACATTTCTAGTACTTAGGAATCTATTATCCTTTTCATTTTATAGGCATATATTCTATCACGTACAACCTGATCCTTCTGTTTTCTGTTCAAGAAAAGTGAACTCCAGTATGAATCTGATTTATCATCATCTTCTAATAGTAAAATTGAATTTTCAAGCAGTATAAAAGCAAGCATGACTAAAAGTTATTTTCAAAAAAGCAGGACCAGAAAAATAGGAACCGCAAACTATCTCAGAAAGATTCTTTTGAATTTGAATATTTTTAGCGCACGCTGACCTGCAACCCTATGTCAGTAAGCTTGTGCCAATTTATTTTCTAGGTGACGACCCAAAAAAGTTTCCATATCCAAAGAAATACTGGAAACATATTTTTGTTGTTAGATCCACAAAAGAGGTTTTCTGTGTCACAAGCACTCCATCCATTTATCACTGTGAAGTAAAATAGTTGATGTACACAATTTTTTGAACTTCAAAAATTCCATTGTTTACAAAAAGATAGGATGATAAGTCAATTGATAACCAGAAAATGCTAAGAAAACATAGGTTTCATATAACAGTAAATGTTGATTTTTTTTCCAAAGACTATAGATAACACTATTACTGTATCAGGGAGAAATTTACCACAGACTTGTCTCTTCCGAT